AAATCTTTGTGATAGCCTTAAAAATATATTTTGCAATCCTTTAATTTATAAAATTTTAAAGCTTAAAAAATAGTGCAGATCCAGCAGATCTATGAAAACTTGAAAATCTTGAAAATTGACGGTCCAAAAATACGTTACATGACGCACTATTTCCAAAACTTGATATAGGAAAAAGTTTATATGGGGTCGAGGCTCTAAATAATCAGATTAGTGCCCACCTCAAAAATTTCACTAGAAGAGGTTGTTTTCATGCCCAAATATCCTCAAATTGATCATCTCGACATCAAGATGCATGGACATGATAAAAAAAATGGATTTCAAGTTTTGGAAATAGTGCCTCTTGTAACGCATTTTTGGACCGTCAATTTTCAGGATTCTCAAGTTTGCATAGATCTGCTCGTTCTGCACTGTTTTTGAAGCTTTAAATTTTATAACTAAAGATGAAAATATAATTTAAGGTTATCACAAAAATTTCCAGTATTAAAACCATACTTCTCGATACTATTTGAAGGTAGGCTCTAATTTGATTGTTTAGAGCCTCGGTTTTATACAACTGAATTAATATATATATATAGATAATTTCTGGCACAACTTATTTTCTCTGTGCTGGCATGATATTGTAGTGACATGAATTGCAAATGCTCAACATTTTACTCATTGAATATTGTAACCATATTAATGGTTGCCTCATTCGGTTAGACATTTTTTATTGTGATCCTTTGTTTAACAGATCACATCTCAAAACCCCAATGAGCCAGATTCTTAATGAAGGCGTCTCATTTAATCATTTGCCTTTATAAAATAACACGATAGGCTGGAAACGAAGATAATTATTTGTCTCACTTTTGGTTAATTGAAACTTTGCAGGTTTTATAAAGAGGTGAGTGAGAGAGAAAAGGAAAGACCAGACATGGGCTCCTTGTTTGCTCTGATTTCAGGGGAGGGCTTTTCAATGAAGCGAAAAAGGTCCTGTATGGAAAATCGAAACCAACACCTAGATTATAGAAGGCAATATATTTTCTGAACCATATGAGCTCGAATGGTCCTTGATCTAGATAAAAATATCAAGTATATTAAAAATAGATCATTAGTTATTTCGACGTTCCTGAGTTAGGTAGTGAATATGATTTTGTCGCTGTAAAATATCCCAAGTCCTGTTTATTCCATGCTTCTTCTGGGTTCCACTCCTTTTTGTTTTTTTCTTGGTTTGTTGCAGTGATAATTTATTGTTGTAAAATATTCCATTAGTCCAGTTGATTCCAGTAATACTTTTTGGTTTTCCTTCCTCCTTTGTTTTTAGTTCACTGGAGAGATGAAAAGGAAGCCAGAATTATTTGCAGATTGAGATTGGTATTCAATTCTTGGGTGATTCCATTGTGCTTATAGGTTGTGTCCATGTGTTCTTTGCTCCTAATGATGAACTTCAAATTTGTGGAGTTAATGCAAAAAAAAAGTTTTGACTCTTTTATGGACTGCTGCACGCAAAGCAAGTGCTACACAGTAGCGCGTGTTCCTTCGGTCCCCTATAAATGAATGTCATTGGAAAATTCATGTCCAACTTGCTTGCAAGTAAAGAAACATGCATGTGTGTGTGTGTGTGAGAGAGAGAGAGGGGGATATTTGACTGGTTCTTCGAGCAGAGAACAGGATAGAGAGAATGAGAGTTTGAGAAAAAAAAAGCGTGAAATAAAAGGTTCTAAAGAATGAATATTGGTGAGTAATTGGGGGCTAGAGAATCATAGCAAAATACAATTGATGCCATGTCATGGTATTATCTAATGTTGAGAAAACAATGGTTCAGGGTGGGCCATTTTTTTTCTGTAATAGCTACGGCCAGCAGTAAGAATGGCAAAAAGGAAAAGTGAATCAAAACAATTTAAACAAATAATGGAAATATTAGGAAAAGAGAAAAATAGCCAGCCGATGGTCCGATTGGTTGGATCGCTAACGGTGTTTTGACAGATCTGGTCCAAAGTAAAAATTGGATTTGGTAAAATATTGGTCAAAGCCAATATTTGACCAATAATTGTTGAACCGACAAGTCACTTTTGACCAGTTCGATTGGTCAAATAAAATACGCAACTGTTTTTATAATATATTTATATATTTTTTAATTATTAACCGCATTTTTCCTTGATATTTTTAAAATCTAATTAAACTAGTTCGACTAGTGGTCAAACATATTTGGCTAGACTAGATGCCTCATTGATTTAGTAGCCGGCGCGATCCTGATAACACTAGAAAACAGAGAGAAGCATGGGATAATTGAAAACTATAATATCCTACTATTCGAAAGTCTCATACATCGTTTATATACTATAGTATCCTATTTTTAAAAGTATCGGACATCTTTTCATATATAAAAGCCGTTAGTTTCTATTTTCATTGTTTAATCTATTGCCAAAGTTTATATAAGGTAGAAGTAAGGTGAACCTCAAAAAGGCAGCAGAAAAACTATTTCCAATATTGGAAAACTCTCATTTGATCGTCTCGACTTCGAGATGGCTGGGTATGGAGGGATTCTAAGTCTTGTACATATTGTAACACATATTGATGGCTGGGTATCAAGGGATTCAAAGTCTTCTACATATTGTAACACATATCATCTAGGCCATCCATTTTCAAGAGTTTATAGATCCGTTTGATGTGCACTATTCTTGGAACTATAAATTGTATATATAGGTGGAATAGATTTTCAAGTCATTGTAAGGCTTCCAGCATTGGAACTGCTGGTCAGCTAGCCATTCGCAGCCTTGCGTCACATGTGCATATTTGCGCTTGCATACGGTGTGACCCCATGGTGCGATATGTTGATGGATAAGGCGTGCGAAACGATTGGCAAACCAACAAAATTTAAATTTACGAGGTAATTGAGAAGGGTTCTAGTGAGTCAAGTCAAATGAGGCATGTGGGTTTGAGGTAGCCAACTGGGCTTAGAGACTATGGGTTTGGGAGGTGTGAATGGGTTGAGAGGGGGTCATGTAGGCTGGAGTGGATTGGGGGCATGGGGGCTTGAGTGCATCGACTAGGTCTAAGTCGTGTGAGTTGGTTTGATTTGGGGCATAAGAAAATAGGGAAGGGAGGGGCTAACCGAAATCCGGTGGAATTTGAGCGACACCTCCCCTATATGGGGTATGGACGACAAAAATAAAGGTGCTCGGTGTTTAACCGAAGCACCCCGAAGGAGTCCGCTGGCCGGGTCTGATGGGTCTAAGCCCGCCCGAGTGCTGCCTTGGAAGAGCTTCCTTATGGGCTAACCTAAGGTAAATAGGGGGCTAGGGGTTAAGTGGGTTAGGTTAAGTGGGCTAGGTTAGGATAGGTTGGAGTATGGAGTACAACATGGTGTAAGATAGGGAGTATGATAGGGTATGAGGTATGGAGTATGGTAGGGTATGGGGTATGGAGTATGGTAGGATATGGGGGATGGTGTATGGTAGGGTATCAAGGTGTGGTGTAAGTAACTCAGTACTCCAGATGGGGGAAATGAAAGCTGAATTTCTTCGGATCCCTCCACCTCCCACATGTTCAATCTTTTTTTAGCGGTTTCCTCAAATATCTTTATTATTAACATAACCTTTATTTTGCTCATTCATGGAGTTGTATTTAGTACCTTTAAGAAAGATGATTATCCACCGTTGGTTAGTAATGTGGGTTGGCTTAGATTACTTAGTGTTGCGTGCCTAAGAGAGCAGTGAGCTTTGGGATGCAGAGAAGCTATTATCGCCCTGCTCCCTAACATAATGTGGCAGTGGGTTCGGACCGCAGGGAACCATAGCATGGGGTTGGGGGACATTGAATCCTTTTGCTGCAGCAAGGATCAACTTTGAAAGACAAATGGATGAAGGGTGGTCAGAAGGCGCCGGGCAATCAATTCCATCTTTTATACTAAAACATCAATAGCTTGATCGGTAAGAGAAGTCTTTGCTTGGCCCCCTTCTCCTTCGCATTGACCTGCCCCTACTGGACTGTTGCTTAGACTGTCTTGCTACCTTCGACCGCTTATGCTTAGGAGTGAATCTGAAGCCTTCTCTTCCAATTAAAAAATTCTCTCTCAGCAAAGCTTTGAAGTTCATACTTCTAGGATGTGTGCTTTATTTTAGTAATTGGCTCTCTTATTTGTATTCATGTCGTTTTGTTTTGGCCCATCCATCCGGAGGGCCTCAAGTGCCTTCACTCGAATCCTTTGGCTACCTTGCTTGTCAATCGCTCAATTTTCATTTCAGATCTTCTTTTGGTGGATCCATGCCCATTTAAGGCAATGGGACTTCAAAAATTCCATGAGGACATGGAGGCACTACTTGCGTTCGGTGTAGATTTGTGAAGATTGATAATGTTGCCAGAAGATACTTTGCTGCACAGAAGAAGCTTTCTCCAGGCAAGATCTACTCTCTCATCATCTCCTAGTCCAGTTTGTTCCTCATCATATTAGATCGACGACTAGACTAAGAACAAGTACAGTTAGATCCGGGCTCGCTGGCCTTCTTCTATAATAGCATAGTTATTTATTAAGTATGCACCACCAACATAGTGATGCGCTTTATTTGATCTTGCTAGTGGCACTAAAGGCAAATTGATTCCTCCTTTGCTTGTAAGCAAGAGAAAGCAGAAGCGCCTTTGCTTGCATCATAAACACCTCATATTCTTACCATCTCCAACTTTCTGCAAACATCAGAAAACCTAACTGCCGCAAGTATAATTCCTTCACAACATCTATTGCAAATTGATTCCTATGATTCCTATGTTCCTCCCTTACATAAAGAAGGCCACCTTAAAGTCCAGTCCAGTGAAGGCAACAAGCAAAGCCACTGGCTTGTGTAGTTTGGCACATCAAAGCAATCGCTTCTATGGCAGAGGTTGCTCGTTGCTAGAGTGATTTTTGAGATTAAAGGTATATGAATTTCACTAATGCAACCACAGGCGAGGTGCTAATATTTCCAAAGGGGGATTGACTTTGTTTGTCAACTCCTCATGTCGTTGACAAAGGAGAACAACCCTGTATGGTGTGCTACTTCCTTCAAGTTGATGTGAACAACCTCTTGTTGTTGATAGAGTGCTTATCGCCCCGCGCTCTAAGCTCCGCTCCTTTGACTAATTGTTCTCATCGGATCTCAGGTTCCCTATTTCACTCCCTAAATAGGGTTCTTTTCACCAAAAAGTGGGCAATAGTTAGGAGAGGTACGCCAGTGGCAAGCGGAAGCATGGTTATTAGATACAAAAGGAAACCCTAGCCAGGACCGCACATGCAAGTTTCCCTGCATGTAGCTCGTTTGTGATAACTTCTTCGGATTTGTGTGAAGTAGTAGATTGCTTTGAATCAAGTTATGAAACCGTTTGAAACATTCAAAGATTGAATCTTTTTTAGAAGTCGATGTACACCATCATCCATAAACAAAACAAAACAAAAAGCTTTCAGAAATAGATTTTAGAGGTGCAGGTCCCCAAGTGGACTTACAGTCTAGCTTGTGTAGCCAACGAGCAAGACCCCGAGCGAGTGCTTTGAGTGCTACACTAGCATTGACAACTATGAAGTGCACATTGCAGAAGGAGAAGAGAGAAGGGTGCAAGGAACCAAGTCGAAGTTATATAGGAAAGGAGACTTTTCCTGAGATGAAAGGCAGGACGAAAAAAAGAGTTGAGTGAGCTTTAGAGGCTGCATCAAACCAAAGCCCTAAAACCTTTTTTTTAAGCTTAGGTTAGGATTAGAATTTAGAAGACCTTGGTTAAGTGTATAGACTTAACTAAGGTGGGTTAGGGTTGGGTTAGGCTAACTTAGGAATCGTTAACCTAGGGTTAGATTTGGGGTAAGGGTATGACATCTTTTGCACAAAAATGTTCTCTCTCCTCTTTCGAGATGACAGATTTTCATTAATTTCAAAGCAAAATGAGTCATCCAAGTTACATGCGTGGTGGGGATTTATATAGAGCTCCCCCATAAACATGGGCGGATCCTCAAAACATGGGGGAATTGGGTGAAAGGAAAAAAGATGATAAATACAATGAAATTTGGGTAAATAAAAAATCGACAAAAAAAATAACATGAACAATGTCCAAAATTGACGATTAGGTCCCTCAAAGACGACCTCTTCTCAACCAAATGGTATGGGGCCTTTGTTTTTTAACTATTTGGTGTTGCCTGTTCTATCACTGGGAAAACATAGATCACACCACCATGATCATTTTGATATGTATTTTGCATGTAACCATGAAGATTTAGTGGAGTTTTGGTTGTTTTGGGTTTTATGGTTTTCATGGAAATCTTCTTCAACACTATTTGATTGATTTCTTTAGAAATACAGGGTTTTATTAGGGATTTATGGGTCTCATATCGAAGGGGATCTCGTATGGTCATGTTGCATAAAAA